AATGGAGGAGAATTTCGATAACTTTTAGGCTCGATGCGAATACGTGTTGCTACATATAAAATTGCACCTCCTCAAATATAAATATGGAGTTTTATTCTCATAAGTAATGGTCTAACTATCAATTGGAGATTTTTGATAAATGATTTTGCTAAACCGAGTCCGAGTATGAACATAAGCAACATGTTGTCTAATTTTTATTCTAATAAACATGTAATAATCATTAAATGCTTGAGAGATAAATTTACTCATGTTATTAAGATAAATTTTTTTAATGGTATGATTTAAAATTTTGCTTGTGATGAAATTACTTGATCAAACATCCTCGAAAATGCTAGGTTTCAAGTTTATAATAAGCATATATGTGACTACTTTATGACTACATCTATTAAAATCATAAAATATCTAAATGATTTACATAGTAGATGAATTGATCAACACATATCACCTTGAATATGTTATAAAATTGCCAAGGATTCAATCTTTATTTTACTTGGTAATAGTTTAATAATTAATTTTCCTTTAGAATGTACAAGATATAAAAATTCATTATATTGAAGAATCTTCTTGTTCTTCAATAGATGCACATATAAATTTTTAGTAATTTTTTGCATCATGATAGATACAGGGTGGTCTAATCGGTCATGATACAAAATAAAAGAATTAGTGAACTTTTGTTTTATTATAGCATTTGTTTCAATCATTAAAATATTTATGTATTAAAAGCCAAGAGAGAAAGTAGGTAATTTCTCCAATACATATTTTTTACCCGATATAATAGTTATAATATATAAGTATTCAATATTTGTTGCCTCAATATGATATCTATTTAGGAAAATTTTTTGAAACTCAACAAATTTCAATGGGACTTAAGAGATAATAATGCATTATTTATAATAAAATTTATCTTTTAATATAATAATATATTTGTTCTTTAGGAGTTTTCAATTAAATTAATACTACTAAATATAGTATTAACATTAGCATTGTCTATTATTAAATAGGAAAAATAACTTTTATTTTTAAATATATCATGCGTTGTTGCGCTATCTACAAGACATAATTTTTCATCTATAATATTCAAACTAATGATGGACTTTGTAGTATTTATATACTCTTCATAAACACAAAACAAATAAATAAATATATAACAAAAAGAAATTTGTAACTATCATGATGTAATAGAAATTATAAAAAAAAAACATAAAAACATCTTTATTTTTAAATAGAAAAGCTAACAAGTTATTAATTTCAATGATCATCATTAATTTGATGATCTTTTTTTTATAGAATTTTTGAAAAAATCAGCAATATCTAAATGTATGAAATTACCAAAACCATCAAGAGGAACATTTTCATAATCATTATTTTAATATGTAAAATTTATCTCTATATTATTTTTTTTACGAGGCTTGATAAAACTCAATGAGGTTCTTTAGCGTATGGAAGGTACACAACTAATGTCCCTTCATGCTACATCTATATCGTTCATTTTCAAAATGCTGACTTGATTTATTTTTATTTTTTTCATACTTTATCCATTTATGGTAGTGAGGTGTATAATTATAGCAACTACGATTATGACGATAATTATTCCGACCATGACTATAGTTTTGTCTACGTCCATGACCACATCTACATCCTCGTCCACGTTTAGAATTATTATAAATTGTCACATTCACTTTAGAAAATGAAGTAGACCTAGTTGTGTAGGTTTCATGATTTTTTTTATCAACGACTAGTTATTTTGTTCAACCACAAGCAAGTATAAAATCAATTTAGAATATTTTTTAGAATTATTTTCTTAATATTGCCACTACGGAAGAATATTCAAGGTATGAAAATTAAAAAAAAATGTTTTCTTTAATATGTTTGAATCAATAATATTTTCTCCAAACAATTTTAGTTTGAAATTGATTCTAAATACCATATAATTATACTAAGTTACTATTTTGAAATCTTGTAATCTTAAGTGCATCTAATCATAACGAGTTTTTGAAAGAATTATCATCTTTTGATAGTTATACATTTCCTCTGAATTTTTTTAAAGTTAAAGTGGATCCTTTACTATCAAATATTTAGTTTTCAAATTCTTATGGAGATGGTGGCGAAGGAAGATCATTGCCTTAGCATGATTTTGCAAGGATTCTTGATTATTATCTATGATTGTTTGTCTAACACCAATCGCATTATGCGCCCATATAAATAATCATTACTCAAAATGTCAAGAGCAATAAAATTAAGTTGTGTGAGGTTCGATATGATAAAAATTTCATAATGCAATATATAATAATAATGTTATAAAATAAAAATAAATAGAATAATAAAATTTTAAACTTTTCAAATGTATACTTTATGTATCATTAGATTTAAATTAAATGATAAATTAGATGCATACCTCTTAATGATTTAGATGATTTGCATCTTTTGGTAGAGCACTTGTGCTAATAACGTGTTGAAATAATAATAATAATAATAATAATAGTAAAAGAATTGAAGAAAAAGATGATAGAAAAATATTTTCACTATAAAATAAAGTGGACACAAGTGATAGCAATTTCAAAACTACTCTCTCAATCTATATAAAAAGGCACACACACCCAATTAATGAACAATAAATCTTATTTATAGGCTTTAAGATTAGAAAGAAAATTATAAAAGACTAGAAAAGATTCATGAAAAGTTACATCAAATGCATTAATCTTTTAATTCGATGTCATCATGCATGACAATGGTGAATTGAATCTCATTAAAGAATGTGATTAGTAGTGAGAATAAGAACGGTCATGGATATTTATTATTTCATAACAGCGATGTATAATTTTTCATGTTAATATATGTACCTTACACTTGTTTTCCTCTCTTTCTCCAGTGTTATTGACTCAATCTAATAAAAACATATGATTTGTGTTTAGATTATCGAGATTAATTACCATTTCCTTAACAAATCTTTCTTAAAAAGAAATAGCACTACATTCCTTTATTAATTAAAATACGAAACTAAGCAATAACTCAAATTAGTTTCCATTATATAGTTATCGGTGCTCTGTCACAAAATGAATATAGGCATTTGAATGCAGTAAGAAGCATCTCATAAGTTAAACTAGATTATTTGCGAACATTGATACCGTATATAACGGTAGCATTATTCTATTGTTTTGTTTGTATTCTGAATAAAAAAAGCTGATGATTTTTTTGTTGTTACATAATTTTTAAAAATACAATAGTAGAATAGAACTGAATTTTTGATTGTTGAAAAACAATACTCAAATGAGTTTGAAAAGCAAATGTACAATCAATATTTTCATAATTTTCAATCAAAATTTTGTTTTTCAATTTGATAGCATGTATTTTGTTGTAAATTAGGTACCTAATAAAAACATGTAATAATGTTAATAAAAAATTTAATAATAAAAAAAAATTCTTAATATATTTTTTTCATAAGATTGCTTTAGGAAAAAAAATAAAGCAATAATCAATATAGAAATTAACTAACAAATCTTTTTTAAGTTTTTGAAAATATGTGTATTTGATTTGTATATATTTATTTATTTATAAAATAATAAAAATATTAGTATAAAAAGATCTATTTGAATTATTAGGTGGCTCTTCTAAAACATTATTTAAATTATTTTATTCAAAAAATTAATTTTAAAATATAAAAAATAGTAAATGGTTGGTGCTATGTTTGTAAATGTATAATTAATTTCTAATAAAACTAATTATCTTAATATTTTATCATACATCATGGTCATATTAATGGGTCGAGTATGCGAGTATAAATTAAAAAATGTTTTTTTAAAAAAAATTAAACTTTAAGGAATATATTAAAGTTAATAAAGTGTAATAAAAATAACTAAGAAATTTATTTTGATAAAATTTAATTATATCAATAATAAGCAAATAAAACACATAATTTCTTTTATTTAATTGATGATTTATTTAAAAAATTAAAAATCCATATATAGAGACAAGTAAATCATATTTATTAAGAAATAAAATCATATAAAAAATAAAAAATTAATTTGATGAGAATTTTTATAAAAAATGACAAATTGATGAAATAAATTTTAAACAATAAAAATAAAATAATATAAAATATAAATTAATTTTGAAATATAAAAACCTGGCAAGTTAAAAATATCTTTTAAAAGCATGTGAGATAAAAAATATCAAAATAAGGGATCAAAATAGAATAAAGTCAAAACATAAATGGCTAAAAATATTTTTTTACAGCACGAGAGACAAAAAAGCTTTTAAAATATGGAAAACCAAAATAAAATATAATGTAAATTTTAAATATAAATACACAAAACAACAAAAAATGATAAAAATACCTTTATTCAAAATTTTTTTTAAAAAATCCTATAAATTAAATAGTGATATGTGAGAAAATAAATAGTAATTACTTTTATTTTTTTAATTGTTTTTGCTAATATCCTTGACAAATCCAGTTTATCATCATCACGAACCACCCTCTTCCACCAAAATTGTTACACAAACACAAAATTATCATACAAAAACGTATAGCAATTTTATTTTAAAAGGGGCCAATTATTTATACTTCATCAATTTACATAAAATTTTAAATCGAAAAGTCTGTTTCCCTCACACAAACTAAGTTCCTATCGACCTAGTCATGTGTAACAGCAGGATCTTCAAGGATCTATCGCACCCACTAATTAGAAAGAATTAGTAAATTTTTCCTAATTAACTTTTTCTTAAAAAGAGAATCACATTTACTGAAACTAAATAATAAATTAAGTGAATAAAAAGGGGGAGGAACCGAGATACCACTGTATCACGTGCCCGTCACCCTCTACTTGACTAACCAAAAAAAAAATCAAAAAGCATCATCGCCTCCCCTCTCTTTCATTGTACCTTCAAGTACCATGACTTAGTACCTCTCCATCTCCCATCACCACCTTTATTTCTCTCTCTTTTTCTCTCTCTGCCTCCCTGCAATTTCTTTTGTTTTTATTTTATTTTATTTTCGCATTTTCATGAAGAAGCTAATGAGAAAGCTCTCAAAGGTCACTCACTCAACCCAATACTCAATCCTCCTACCAAACTCACCAAAACCCAGATCGGACATCGTACCAGCAGGCCACTTCCCTGTGTATGTTGGTCTAGATCAAGACACAACAGAGAGGTTCATTGTTAATGCTGAACTGCTACACCATCCTTTGTTTATTGAGCTCCTACACAGATCAGCACAAGAATATGGGTATGATCAAAGAGGGGTTTTGAGGATTCCTGTTAACGTTGTTGTTTTTGAAAGGGTTCTTGAATCGGTGAAACTTGGTGAAGGTTACTCTCGTCTTGATGAACTCATCGACTAGTCGTTTAAGGTAGTTGATTAAGCCCTGTTTGGTACCCAGAGAGAAGAGGAAGCATTTTCCTTTTTCTTGTTTGGGGTTTTAGTAATTTGTATATAATCAAACATGGGGTGGGGTCTCTCTTTTTTTTTTTTTTTTTTAAGATTTAGATGCATATATTAATATAATTATGTAGATCTTTGTGTTTGAAGTAATATCTACAGCAGAGTGGTGTTAGACCCATTACATTACGGCTTTCTCTTCAGCACTGAATTTATCTGATATATAATTGCTTCTTTTTTTTCGTTTGCTTCGATGAGGGAAGATTTTTTGGATCAAACCAAACTCTTGTTTGATTCTTCATAATTTAATGACTTCTTGCTGTATTTCATACCTATTTTTATTTTGTCCTTGTTGTCGTTTCAAATTTTGGATCTCTTTAAAATTACTTTTAGGTGTAATTTTGCTAAATTTTTTAAGAGCTTGGAAAAAGAGAATTTTATATACAGTCTTAATTGTTGTAGCAGTTTAATCTAGTTGTTAGTGTGAAACTGTTGGATTTAAAACCGTTTATATGCAAATGCCAGCATTTTTTATAAAAATAAAACGTCAAAGTTTAATTAATAATGCGAAAATTTCTTGTTTTGGGCCGAATACCAATGCACAAACTTAGAATCAAACCATCTTTCTCAATAAAAGAGAACTACAAGGAATTAAATCCCTCTAAATCAACTAACACGGGCGATGAGGCAACACTATGCCCTATAGGCAGGACCATGCTTTTGTTGGAAGGTCCTACAGTTTACTGAAGCCAGCGCTCGTGGGATAAAAAGTAGTCTTGTCTTTTGCAAGTAATTAGGGATGATAATTTAATTTGAATTCCATCGATTCTATCCGAATTGAGAAACTTTATATTACTTAAATGTGTCGATGGCAAAGTATTTAATACATAATATATTATTTTTTTAAAAAAAATTTATTCTCATTTTTTTTATTTTCACATTATACATAAAAATAAAGTTATGTGTAAATTTCATTCATATTTCTATTTTTTATTTTCATTCCAAATTCATTTTTTTCAACCAAACAACTACAAAATGAGAATAAAATTTTTATTTTCATTTTCAGTATTTCGTTTTTAATAATCAAACAACACCAAAGACTAATTAATAATACTTACTTTAACTAACTTAAGTTTAAGTAGAGAATTGAATATATTTTTATTATTTTTTACGAATTCGGATTTTTTTTTTTTGCTATATATATATATATATATATATATATGTGTGTGTGTGTGTGTGTGTGTGTGTGTGTGTGTGTGTGTGTGTGTCATTGATGTGAATATATATACCTCATATACATATGTTGTTTTAATTTTATATTAAATAATGAATAATATTCGATTAATGCTTACTAATTCCTGTAAATAATGGACTTGCAGTGTAATTCTGCCAATCTACTAACGTAACTTTTGCAACATTGTTTTATGGTTCCTAAATTCTTTCTATGTTTATGTACTGACCATGACTATCTTACAAATCTAGTAATCAACAACCTTGGTGCTATTGATTGTCGTATCATTATGAATCATAAAAAAGAAAGAAAGACGTTTTTATGAATGCATCTTAAACATGAATTAATTGTTTGTGAATAGATTAGAAACAAACACTGTATTAATACCTTGATTGTTAAGAAAAAAGAAGCTAAGAAAAAAGGAAGTAACCAAGATCATTAGTCATGGACTTCGAATTAAGAGTGGAGTCCGGTAAATATATTTATATGTAGTATAAATTGATGTAGTAACATCATTAGAGTTCCATATAAAATCACTAATTATGGAGTTTTAAAACAAGAATCCATCCTTGAAAATTATTTGGAGATAAATTAGTTCTCCATAAACTAGGCAAGAACTTGCATGCATATCAAATATAAGATCTAAAAGTCAAGTACATAAGCTTTTCCACTAGTTGCCTATATTCGGTAGAATTAGTAAGGAGATTCTCTAAAACATGCAACAACTTTTATTTAGGATGCATAGGAGTGGAGGCGAGCTCGGAGTTAGAGAAACCATACTCATTCAACATATCCAAAACATACTTCCTTTGGCATATTGCAATCCCTTACTATGATCTAGCCATTTCAATGCTTAAAAAATATTTGAGTCGACCAAGATCTTTGAATTTAAACTTCATATTGAGAACTTTCTTAAGATCAACTATATTAATAGTGGAACTACTAACAATTACAATGTCATCCACATAAACCGATAAGAGAATTTTTTGAAGAAGTATGCATTGTGAATAAAGAATAATCTATCTTGGATTGCTAAAAACCATATTCAATCAAAGCCGTAATAAATTTTACACTCCACTATCCGGAAGCTTGTTTCAAACCATATAAAGACTTGTGTAATTTATAAACTAGTTTATACGAACCGCCCATATACTATTCCTTAAACTAATAACCATATGGAGGATCCATAAACATCGCTTTCTCTAGATCACCATATAGGAAATCATTGTTGATGTCTAATTGAGAAATAAACCGGACTTGAATGGCGACTAAAGATAGAAACAATCTAATTGTGCTATGTTTAATGACAAAGCCGAAAGTCTCATGATAGTTAAAACCTTCAACATGTCTATACCTTTTAACTACAAATCTTACCTTATATCTTTCAATACTACAATTAGCCTTGAATTTAACTTTGTAAACTCATTTACAACCTACGAAGTGAGGGAAACACATACAAGGTATTGTTTATCTCAAAGGCTAATAACTCATAGCTCATACATAGCTTCTTTCAAGTAGTTAAATTTCACAACTTGTGAATAGGTTTTAGGTTCAAATATATATGATAAAAACTATATAAGGAGAAGAAAGTTGAGAAGTTGATACATGTTGATGAATATGATAAGAGGTTGAATATAAAAGATTAATATGAGAAACAAAAGATTTGGAATGAAGAGAATGATTATATGCTTATAAATATGCAAAAAGTTTAGTGGACCTTATTGATTTTCTTAAAAGAGGTGAAGAAAGAAGAACATTTGTATGAAGAGAAGACCGTGAAAGATTAAAGGAAGGAAACTCAACAAGAACAAAGGAAGAAGACTCGGGGATAACAAAGAAATGAGACTCGGTAGGAACAAGGAAGAAAAATCAAGGATAACAAAGAAATGAGACTCAAAAGAAATAAATAAAAAAAGATTCAAGAATATTATTTGGATGAAAATACTCAATATCAGTAGGAAAGATAGAATGAGAAGGTTAAATATTAGTAAAATCAAACAAATTAGATGTAGAAGAAGAAGGAGATATTGAATACATATTATTAGGAGGAAAAGAAAAAGAAGAAATAGAAAAAGAAAAATGAAACATAGTCTCATGAAAAATAACATCTCTATAAATGAAAACCTTGTTAAAAATAAGGTCATAAACTTCGTATCTTTTAACTCCGGAAGGATAACCAATGAAGATACAAAGAGTAGCTCTTGGATGAATTTTTTTTTTTTTTTATTATGAGCAAGAGTAAAAGTAAAGCATAAAAATCTAAATACTTTTAGTCGATTATACTATGGTGTGATGTTGAATGAAGTTCATAAAGAGTTGAAAAATTCAACATAAGAGAATGAATTATATTGATCAAATATACAATAATGAGAATATCACCCCTTTAGAATTTCAAAGGTAAAGATGCTTGAAAAAAAAGATCTAGCAACATTCAATTAGTGTTGGTGTTTTCTTTTAACACAAATAATCTGTTGAGAAGTGCTTGTATAAAACATTTAGTGAATAATACCTTTAGAGTCATAAAAGAAAGGAAGGTGAACAATATCATTATCAAACCGTATTTTGTTTATAGAAGAGTTAAATTGGATGAAAATCATTTGGTAAAAGAAAGGAATTATGGAAAGAAAATCTGATTTATGTTTGAGTAAGAACACTTATGTAACTCTAGTAAAGTCATTTATCATAGTAAAGAAAAAAATCAAAACTACCAAAAGAAGAAACTTAATATGGTTCCCAAATATCCATATGAACCAATTAAAAAGGAAAAATAGATTCCTTTTATGAATAGAAAATGATAACCTCATTTGCTTTGCCAATAGATGAATAAAACAAGGAGAGTTAGTATTATAGTAAATAACAAAATGATGTTAATGAATAAATTTGATCCTATCAAAGAAAATATGATCTAATCTATAGTTTCATAGATCAAAATAGAATGATCCAAAACTTTATTTGCATTGTTTGAACATTACAAGATTGTTTAATAAAAGAAAATGACAAGTTTAGATTGATCGAAAAAAAAAAAACAATCATAATTGAAGATTAGCAATTTCAATCATTATCCATGAAGAGTTATCCTAAATCATATAAAAATCACCAGAAAAAAATTAATTTGTAATGAGAGTTGATTGCGAGCTTATTAATAGAAATAAGGTTGAATTTGAAAAAAGGAACATAAAGTACATCATGAAACAAAAATGATGATGACAAACAAACTTAAACAATATAAATTACAATAACCTAGTATCATTTGGCATTTGGGCTATCATACCACAAACAAGTTTATGAGATTTAAACTATTCAAAAAAACCCGAAATGTCGACATTGGCCTATAAAGGGCGAACAAGGAATCGTCACATAGCTTATCGGGGTAACTAAAAAACCCTAAACGTACTATTTTTATATAGATATCTAGATAAGGAGTCAATTACATTGGAGAAGATGTGACAACACCTTCATCTCGTCCTATCTAAGATAGGTCGCATTAAATGCATGTGGAAATAAAAATCTAGTTTTCAACTATGTTATGCTTCTATGTCTATTTAAATGAGTTTATTTTATTAAGAAGTAAAAACAAGATAGTTTAAGGGTTTGTATATAAAATAGAGTAGTTTGGGGGTTCAAATCTATCTAAAGCCAATGCACCCTACTCAAAAAGGAAAGGTGAGAGAAGTTGAAAATTTGGCTAATCTTTAATGAACACGACCTATTACCTATAAATAGATGAGTTT